TGTGTGTGTGTGTGTGTGTGTGTGTGTGTATGTATAGGCTGTGTGTGTGTGTGAGTTTGGATGTGTCTGTGATATAAGGCAGCTGCCTAAGTAAGCAGTAAGGTAGTTTACTGGTTTTTGGAATGGAGCCATCATGATACCGCATTTGCAACTGTCCAAGTCACTGGTGTAATGTATATGAAGCGTGTCTTTTTGGCTGTTTCAAGTGCTGCAGCTTTTCCTCATTCAACCTGAAGTGTCCTCACTGCAGTAGACTAATTGTTATTCCTCCTCTCGCCTGCCTGTCTGGTGTTCTCAGGATAGTCTGATGTCACAGCTGTAAGCAGATCACTGCCCGGCAGCTCATGCATCTCGCAGCAGACAGTGTAGTGGTAAACAGGGTCAGAGATTTCTCCTTCCTAAATGACTGATGTGAGTCGAGACTTCCTATTACCCTTAAACAGCTTATACCAGCATGCATTTATGTTCTGGGTTGCTTATGCTCGTTTGGAGTTTCCTGCTAGTCAAGAATACATTGGAACAGATGCATGCTGTCTGGAAAGCTTATCTGAACAAATTCTGATAGACTTTAATTGAGAGAATGAGTGGCCTACTAGACAAGATACCATGTGTTAAATGCAAATTATACTGTCATTTGAGGTCTATACATGAAACATGGAATTTGACATTGCAATAATGAAAACTAGAACAGGCTAAAGACTGTCATGTTTTTGTGTTGATTTTTAAAATGAAAGGAATAGTTCACCCAACAGAGCTGAGCTAGACCAACATAGCAAGTCAAAAAAACCTAGAATATCCTAAATAATATACAAATATATGGAAATATTGAGATTTGTGTGTTTTGGCTGAGTGTTTGCTAAGATTCAGGTTTATGCTGTATTCATAAGAGATTATTAGAAGTATGTTTAACATAAGTTTTTTTTTTTTTTTATCTCATTCTGTCCTGTTTACCACACAGCTTAGTAAAATTATAGATGCCACTAATTGCATTTTATTGGCCGGTTATGGCTTTTAAAAAGCACAGTAATAAGCTAACAGACGCAGGATTGGTTTTAAATGGCAGTTTGATTAGGCCAAATCTAATTATGTCATCTTATTAAGTAAAGTCCCTTTCAGTTTGCCATCTGGACAGAATTTGAACTTTTCACCCTTTGTGCATTACAAAATAACAATATTAAAAGGCAAAACAGCTTTTTACATTTCATAAAATGAAATTAATTGTAATCTGGTCTGGTGTGTCTTGAAATTGGAATTATGCTTATGGTGTTTCTTTCCTTTCATTTGTTAGTTTGAGCTCACTGTTACAAGAAAGCCAGATCATTTACAGTAGTACAATACATGCTCCCCTCTGCCTATAGGTTTGGACAGGTAGTCCAAAATGCAGCGGCTAGAGTCCTTACTTGCATTATTGACACACTATTTTCCTAATTAATGCTGTTCAGTTGCTTTGACACAATCTGTATTGTTAAAAGCGCTATATAAATAAAGGTGACTTGACTTGACTAGTACTGTTTGACAGCATTGTATCTATTCAGCTGCCATTATGACTTGGAATAAGTGAAAGCTTTGCATGTCATTCTCATTAATTTCTGAAGCTCTTACTGAATATTAAACTATTACATAATATCTAGTGCGAATATTCACAGATATATGCATGCAGAAACATCTCATCTCAATGGTATCAGCAGCTATAGACATATTATTCCTTGAGTAAATATTTAGGCTAAGTGTTTTTGATTAGTAAATGATTGCTAGATTCTTGTGGTAGTGCTTGAATGGTGCTATCTGTATCAGCCCAAAGATTTTGTATTGCTTTTAGAGCTGGATTGTCTATAATCCAGCACTTTCTGTTTATTTGCTGACATGCATAGGGACTGTATAAAGGTAAATCTATCATACAAATGGGCCATCACGTAGCAGTTTATATTGCAGATCAATGTTAGCCCAAATCACTGATCATAGTAGTGTAAAAGAAAAAGTGCTTCATTTACATTATTCCAATGTGTAGATTTCAGCGAAATGTAAATTTCTAACACTCATTGAATATAGTAGTAGTTTTTCAATTGAAAATATGAAATGAGACCATCATCCTTTATCCATATTCCTCTATGTGTTGCATATAATGTTTTAATTTGCATACACTTATTTGATAAAGATTATTATGCATATGAAACAGTTTGGCACCAGATCTGAGCATCTGAAAAGAAAACACTGCATAAAACCCTATTAGCAAGTTCATGCCTTTTAAATCCAAAGAAAGTTACTAATTTTACAGTTGAAAATATTACATGTTGTTTGTGTTATGAATTACATTACTTTTTTTTTAAGGTTTAAAAAAAAACTATAAGAAATAAGACCGGAAATTCCTTTTATGGAAAACTTGTGCACGAACCTCATGCAAAGAATTGTTGAAACTTTAGTTTAGTTTGCTAATTAGCTCTCCTGAAAAAGAGGAGGACAGAAGGTATAAAATAAATAAAATAAAAAACTCCCACTCAATTTAGATGGCTTGCTGGAAAGGTAACCCATGTATCAGTGTGTGACTCATTCAAAATTATCATCCATATGTAGATGTTTTCTTATGATTAATTATTTGTTTAGCTTTGTTTTAAAGGGCCAAAGAAAAATAATTATATGAAAGGATACCTTTTTATGTTTATGATTAGGATTAGGATTATGTTTTTAGGTGTTGGAGTAAAATAAAATAGAATACAAAATTAACTAATACACAAAAATGAAAAGCAGGCAGGTGATTTCCAGCCTCAAAAACATAAAAATAAATAAATACATTTATTGTATTTTGAAAAGATTTAAAGTTATAATATTTTATTTTTGGAGCTCTACCATTCTTGTAATAAACATCAATAACAAAAGGGAGGATAAGTGTTTTTATTTTATTATTTATTTTTTGTTTATTATTTTTTAATTGTCTCATTATTTTACTTTCCTTGTGAAATCATACACACATTCTCCCTGTCCACTCTCACTTAGTCACCAGCTGCATGTCATCATGAGAATACTAATAAGATGTAATGTTTAAATCTGGCTGCAGCAAATGCTTTGTCATTCTGAACAAATGTGCTGACTACCAAAGCTGTTTTGTGGCATTTGATGGCAAATAGTGAATAAATACAATTAATATAATGTCAATCTCATTTTTGAGGGTTATTCTGATGCCATTTTTCTAAATTCATTGATTGATCCATACCATAGACATACTGTATCTATGACCCTCTGAAATCCAGTATATTTCGACATCTATTTCAGTCTTTCTGCTTATATAAAGGCTTCTCAAAAGTCCAATTTATCTACCAATGTTGACTTGCTATTTTTAACACCAGCACAAGAGGTGAGGATGAGTCATCTTTTATTTTTATGCTAAGGGGTTTAGAGATCACTCTGAGCTATGAACAGGTAAAGAGATGGAATGTAATCCGTTTTTCATCTAGGCCAATAACAAAAGGGAGGATAAGTGTTTTTATTTTATTATTTATTTTTTGTTTATTATTTTTTAATTGTC